ATCTCGCACGAACGAAGTTTCTTCGCTCGGATCGAGAGCGAACGAAACAAACACGTCGTTTCGTCGTTTCGCGAGCGGTTGGTCGGAGGATCGCTCGCGCAGGTTCAGCGTCCGTCGCGTCGCGCGTAACTCGTCGCAACGATCACGCGGACGACGAACTTTGGATCCGCAGGTCGGCACGATTCGTTCCGTGGACGATCTGTCGTCGAGATCGGACGAACTACTCGCGCGGACGCAGAGACAAGAGAGAGCGATCAGCGAGATGCACGCAGATCTGAGACGGAAGACGAACAAGATCATCGAGAATTTGGAAGGAGCGGAGAACAGACTGCGAAAGCAGGAGGACGACGTCGCCGGTCCGGCGGAACTGCCGCTGGATCCGACGATCGACCGTCTCGTCGAGTACGACTCGAACAGGTGAGTCCGGTGGGTCGTTTGTTTGTTGGTTTCTTTCTTCTTCCTGTTCCTGTGCGTTCGTCTCTCGAGAATCGAGCCAACGACGTCGACGAAACTTGGCGGCGCGCTAACGTGGAATCGCGTTCCCGTCGAAGTGTTCGTCGACGTCGACGCTTCGAAGAAGAGGAAGAGGAAACTTTCTTTCAGACGCGCGGGACCAGCGGAAACGACCGTTTCGTCGGTGAATCCGACGACCATCGTCTCGTCGGTGTCGATGTCCGTGTCTTCCTCGAGCTCGTCCGACACGGCGTCGACGAGTAGCTGGAACGGTTCGAGCAATTCTGGAAATTCCTCGAGTTGGGAACGATCTTGGTCTAAAAATCGGGGCGTCGTATTCCCGAGCGTAAAGAAGAAACCAAGTCCGGCGAATTCGACGTTCGGGACGGACCCGTCGGCGAGTCACAAGGACGCGAAGGTAAGGAAAAGGCGACGCTCGTCGGGAGCGGAACGAGTGCAAGCGGCGGTAAAACTGGTTGCAGGGCTACTCGTGCGTGGATCTGTTGAACGCGGGGATGAGAGAGAGCGGCGTTTATCACCTTCAAATTCGCGGAACGACTTACTGGTTCTTGAAGGTTTACTGCGAGCAAGAGACGGC